TAGGCTGTCTTCCAAATCTCTTTTTCCACCCATTATTCACCAGTGGGCTGTGCTATCTCTTATCTAACCCTTCCCTTGGCTGTGTCTCTTTTCCCTGTTTTCCCAGATCCTTCCCACGTACCCCTGCAACAGCCTTGCAAGTCTGAAAGTACAAATCTCCCGCGGTCTCTTTTCACAGCCTGAGAAACTAAGGGAGCTCCTTGCCCCTTCTATTATCCAGCTGTGGGCTCCTCGGACTCTGATCAGACTGTCCCGCTGGCAGCGTCTCTTCTCCTGCCTGCCTGCCAAGGTCTGTCTGTCTTTGCATCATGTCATTACTCCATGATAAAACTTCATGTGTGTGTGTGACGGCATCCATCGGCATCAGAGCGGCCCTTGGTGATGTGGTGATGTAGAGCTGCGTTTCCCTCCTGGCACCAACAGGTGGCACTGCGCGCTTAGAGCTCAGGCATCTGCAGGAGCAAAGGATTGTGGGAAAATCCCAAGCTGACATCTCAGCTGTTTCCGAGATGGGCCCTGTTGCAGGTTGCCGTGGCAACAAAGAACAACAGAGGAGGCTTTCCTAGAAGGGAGTGTCCGTTGACTCTCTGCTTGAGTCACCGTTCTGGGCTTTTATCGGTTCAGCCGGCCCGGTTTACTCATCCTTACTCATCCCCAGACCCATAAGGCTGGGCTTCTCAAATACAGGTGCTTCCTCGGGTTGCGGCCACAATTGGGTTCAGAGCTTTGGTTGCTAAAGCAAGGCGGTTGCTAAGGGAATCACGCCCAGTTCTATGACCTTTTTCGCAACGGCTGCAATTAAGTGAACCACGTCATGGTTAAGCAAGTCTGGCTTTGAACCACTGACCCTGCTGGTCAAAAGGCAGCTGGGAAGATCACAAATGATCCCAGGACGTTGCAAATACATGCCGGTTGCCAAGCACCCAAATTTTGATCACACGATTGTGGGGATACTTTCATGCCTGAAGCAGAACTAGAACTCACCGTCGCCTGGTGATTGGCACAGAGTCACCCAGACGGGACTAGAACTCACCGTCACCTGGTGATCGGCCCAAAGTTACCCAGCCACCTTTAATGCCTTAAGGCAGAACTAGAACTCACCGTCTCCTGGTTTCTGCGACCGTCATAAATACGAGTCAGTTGCCAAGCATCTGAATTATGATCATGTGATCTTGGGGGGGGGGATGCTGCAATGGCTGTAAGTGTGAAAAACAACCACTTTTTTCAGTGTTTGAACGGTCACTAAATGAACTGTTGTAAGTTGGGGGACTACCTGTATCTTTTAAAAAGAAACCTAAAAAAGCATCTTTAAAAAAACAAACAAAACTGCCTTTCAAAGAAACCTTTAAAACATTCTTTTTTTAAAAATACGTTTAAAAAAAAATATCCAAGCAACATCTTTCAAAGAACCTAAAGGCTCTCTCTATATATAAAAAAACACCCTAAAAATATCTTTTTAAAACTACCTTTAAAAGAAAGAGAAATCCCCCCCCTCTGTCTCATTTCTCCATCCAGGCTGCCTCCCCAATCCTGGTTCGGTGTCTTGCAATTCCCACCTGGTGGTGGACCCCCCCCCCCGTCCCCAGTTTTCCAATCGCTGTCCACGTCCCAGCCTGTATGCCAAAGGTGACTCCTTTGTTGGGCAGCGTTTGTCGTGGGAATGCAAAGCGACACTCGCTTGCTGGGGAGGGGGAGAATAAAATACCCCTTTGTTCAGCTCTGAGACCCCCACCCCCACCCCAACCCTGGCTTGGAAGGGCACAGTCCAGACGGTCTCCCCCCACCAGCTCTGGCTGGCTGGCTGGCACGATTGCGCAGCGCTTCCCCACGGCCAGCCAGCCTGCCTGCCTCTCCAGCTGCCCCCGGAAGCTTCTCCCCCCCCTCTCCTCCCGCTAAAATCCCGGCTAAGCCCCGCAGCCAAGCTTCCAGACCCCCCTCCTCCGTCTGCCAGCCGGGGGGGGGGGGCTTCCCAAGCCGGCCGCTGGGGGAGCACCAGAGACAGCAGCAGCAGCCAGCAAGTCGGCGCGTAAAAACGCAGCAGGGCCGGGTGCGATCAAGGCACCCGGCCAGGACGGCTGCAAGCTCGGGCAGGCAAGCAGGCGGAGATCCGTCTGGCTCAGCTGTCGGCTGCCCTTCCTGGCTGCCGGCTCTTCCCCTCCCCCCCGCCGCTGAGTCAACCCTCGAGTCTCCCCCCACCCCCCCGCCGTCCCCAAGACTGCTGCAACCGCATCCAGAGCGCTGCGCGCCTTGCCAAGCTCCGCCGCTGCTGCCGGCCAGGTGAGTCTGGGGGGGTTCTGCTGCTTTCCGTCTCCCCTCCGGCCTTTGTTCGCCTGCTCGCGGCCTCCCAGCCTCGCGGAAGCCGAGCCAGAACGAGCCGGCGCTACAAGCCGGGAAGGGGGGGGAGAGAAGAGTGGCGGAAGGCCGGGCAGGGCTCGGGGGTCGTGGAGAAGGGGGGTCTTCCAAGATCGCGGGTCAGGCGCGTCCGGGGGGACATGGGCTAGCTGGGAAGAGGCGATCCAGAGCTCGCAAGAAAGCAGATCGTGGAGATTTTGGGGTGCTGGGAGTGGGGGGTGGTGGTCTCTGTTCTGAACCCCCCCGTCTGCCTCCCAGTCCCCCCCCCCCAAGAAAAATCTGGATTTTTCTGTGCATGGATGGGGTTTGAAATGGGGAGGGAAGTAGATGGTCGTTCAAGGCTGGCAGGAAGGCGAGCAGCGTCCCCAGTCCCCCACCGGAGGTTGTCTGGACAAGGTTGGGGAGGGGGGTGTCCTCCACCCCGAGCAGGGAAAGGGTGGAGGAAGCCGGGCAGGCAGGCAGGCCAGGTGTGTTGTGGGAACGCCGGTTAGCTGGGCTGAGTTTACTCAGAGCTCAGAAGGAAACAGTTCACGGAGTTTTGGGGGTGCTGGGAGGGGGGGGGTCTCTGTTCTGGACTCCCCTGTCTGACTCCCAGCCCCCTCCCCCGCAAACCTGGATTTTCCTGTGGTTGTCTGGGGCTTTGAAACGGGAGGGGGGGGTAGATGGGTCGTTCAAGGCTGGCAGGACAGGCTCGGGAGCCAGGGGTGTCCTCCACCCTTTGCTCAATGAGGGGGGCAGAGAAGGCCCGGTGGGAAAAATTCAGATTTTATTGGCAACTAAAGAGAGCAGCGCCCCCACCCCACCCCTTTCTCTTAGAATGGGATTTGGGAATTCTGCCCAGGCCGGTTTGAAAAATCTCCTTCCAAAGGAAACAGCCGGTTTGGGGGGGGGAACAAAAACAAACAAAAAAATCAAAATTGGAGCAATCAACCAAGAATTCAGATTTGTTTCAAATTTTACAGGCGTGCCAAGGTACAGAGGATGATTTTTCTCCATTTTGGGGGGATGAGGGTCTTTTTTAAGTTTTAAAACCAGGGGGCTGTTTGATCTGGATTGGCCTGGGAAAAACTGAATTTTGAAAGAGGGAGAGGGAAAAAAAAAAGGATTTTGGGCAAAGATGTTTTTTGGCCCGTTATGTTGTGTTGTGATGTTATGTTATGTTATGATGTATTAAAATCTGGACAAATATGTATCTTGTCTTGGCCTTATTTTGTATTATTTTATCTAGTTCTAGTTCTCTGTGATCAGCACACAACACTCAGATTTTTGTAACTGCACCCGAGGCCTTTAATTGGAGGCGGTCCTCAGCTTACGACCAAAATTTCTGCTGCTATTTTTCACACTTAACGACTGTCACAGCATCCTCAGGGTCACGTGATCAAAATACAAATGATTGGCAACTGACTTGTACTTAGGACGGTTGCACTGTCCCGGGGGGGTGGTGGTGTCACATGATCCCCTTTTGCAACCTTCTGACAAGCAAAGTCAAAATGGGGAATCCGGATTCACTTAACAACCGTGTTGCTAATTTAACCAGCTGCAGGGATTCACTTAACAACGGTGGCAAGAAACGTCGTAAGACGAGGCAAGACCCGCTTAACAACTGGTCTCGCTCAGCAGCGGAAACTTTGGGCTTAGTTGTTGTTGTAAGTCGAGGACCACCGGCCATTAAAGGCCTCAGGGGTGCAATTATTAATATCCACATCAGCGAGAATTAGATGAGAGTCAGGGGATGAAGGATCGAACTCGCAACCCACGCCAGTTGGGAAGAGCCGCCTCAAATCCTGGAGCAGGTTCTGCTCTGAGCACGGGGATGGACTAGATGGCCTCTGAGGTTCCTTCCCAGCTTGTGGGATGCTTTCTGAGTAGTGGAAGAATCCCGAGGGCTGCAGGATAAACGGAGGGAAGTCTATCAGAAGATGCCTCTTCCTTGACTTCTAGGCAAGAGAATGCTTCCTTTATCTCAAAAAGCCGGAGGAAGCTTCTTCCTTCACACGTGCACAAGGGATGCTTTTTAATCTGCTTGCTAGAGAATGCTTCTTGCCCCACCGGCAGGCAGTGTTGTTTTGCCTCCTTTGCCTGTCTGCAAGATCGTTTCTCGTTCTTCAGAGGTCTGCAAGAGAATGCTTCTTCTTTCCCTTTCTTCAAGATAATTTATTTTCTCACGTCTGCAAGAGAATGCCTCTTCTGTCTCTTACCTATCTGCAAGAGAATTTTTTCCTGCTTATGTCTGCAAGAGTGCCTCTCCATTCTCATGTCTGCAAAATAATTTCTCCTGCTTCTCACGTCTGCGAGAGCATGCCTCTTCCTTCCCTTGTCTGCCAGATCATTCCTCTTTCTTCTTATATATATATATGCCAGGGAATGCCTCTTCCTTCATTTGAATACCCTTCAGAAGCCTGGCTCTAGTTATCCCTGTGTAGACCAAACAGATCCATTGACCGAATTTATATAACTTAACTTTTCCTTAACTTGGAAAGTAGTCTAAAAATAAGCGTCCCCCCCCTCACTCCCGGGAGGATTATAATTCGTAAACCGCCATCTTCCCTTCTCTCCTCTGCCTCCCCCCCTTCCAGGTCTGTCACCACGCCAAATGTGAACAAGTCAATCACCACAGCCCCCTGCACTTGTGCGAGGCGTGCGACGGGCAGATCCACGGGGCGATGCACTTTGACCGACATATCCGCTTCGACCTTCCGCCTCCAGGTGACCACCGAGACCTTGCTGGGCCAGAACTGGGCCTGGTTCTCGCGCATGGCCCTCTTTATTCATTTATCAAAATTTAAAACCTTGAACTGGCTGGATTTGGCCCAAGACTTAATTGCCAACTCTAAAATCCAACCTTCTCTGGATTTCCCCAGCCGGCCATGCCCGTTTTGTGTCTCCTACTCTCTAGAGCAGAGAGATCGCACAGGAAGGGATTACAAGAGAGTAAGCATGTCTCTACTCCTTGCAGTGGAGAGATTGCAGAGGAAGGGATTACGAGAGAATAAGCAGGCAATGCGATAGGGATGCACATCAAAAGGAATGCATTATCACCAGGGAATTCTGGGAGTTGAAGTCCACCCATCTTAAGGTAGTCAAGGCTGAGAAGCGCTGATGTAGAGATGGCAATTTATACGATGCAGGATTTGCACCCGGTGCAGAATTCTGCCCATGCCTCAGAATAAGTAAGCCGCTGTTCGTGGAATCTGAAGCCTTTTAGTAATAAAATAAGAGAGTCAAAAGAAACGTGGCCAGATAGGGGATCTCTCCGAGGGAGGGAGGAATGTGTGAACGGGACTCCCAAGTCCCAGTGCAGGGATTAACCACCCCATAACTCTTATCTTCAGGGTCTATCCTGGCGCGCAACGTCTCCACCCGGTCCTGCCCGCCACGCACGAGCCCGGCCTCCGATGTGGAAGAGGAGGACGAACCGCTGATTGACGGGAAAGGGTGAGTTGTAGGGAAAGACCCATTTGGCAAACATCCCCGCGCTTCAGAAAGCTAATTCCTCAAGGTCGGCCGATCTCATGTCCTGGAGAGCTAGCTTTCAGAAGGAATGGAAAGATAGTGGAGGGGGAAAAAAACCACAATTTTTTTTCACCTCTGTTTTGGGAAAAAGAGTGAGATGGGCAGAGATCTGCTGTGTGGGTAACCCCAATTCCGTTTTTTCCCTTGTTTCTTGCAGAGAAAAACGAAATTTAGCTCGCAAGCCCAAGAAAGGAACAAGGAGACATACGGACGTAAGGACGGGTCGATCATACCTTGCTTCTTTCCAGAATCCATATATAAATAGTCCTCGACTTACGAGCAATCGTTTAGCAAACGTTTTGAAGTTACACTTTCAATGGGATCCAGAGGCCAAACTGCAGCTCTCACAATAGTAGCAAGTCGATAGGGCCCCTCAGAGGGCATCCAGTGCAACCCCCTGCTCAGACCTATCCTCCTGGAATGGCTGTCCCCTGTCAAACAGATGGGCAGGGGAATCTTTCAGTGGTTTAGCTTCTGAGTCTCCTATAAAAATCAGAGAGTTTAAGTTAAAATCAACGCTAAACCCTGGTTTCTCAAAAATTCTGGGAGTTGAAGTCCACCTGTTTTAAAATGGCCAGGTTTGCAAAACGCTCTGCTAAATGAATCTGCGTAAGACACCTTTTTTTAAAAACACTTAAAAAACTTAAAAAACACTTTTAAAAACCTTACCGACTTTTAAAATAAGTTATTTCTTCCCCAGGATCCTAGCAGGGAATATTTCACTCTGAAATTTGATTTGAACGTGGACGTTGAAACGGAGATCGCCCCAGCCATGAAGAAGAAATCTTTAGGGTAAGAATGTAATTCTGATTCTGTCTCACCTGCTGCCCCATTTAAGCCTCTCAGATATTGCTCAACAACGGAAATTCTGGCCCCGTACGTTCGAGGGCTGCCTGTACATTTACTAAATAAAATAAATCTATGTATTAAATTGATTTGCATCTCCTATCGGAATGACTCTAATTAATTAAGTAACAATGGACAAGAATGGCATTAGATACTTTAGTAATAAAACGAAACAAATTCATTTAAAATAATAAATAAAAACATATGTTTTCACGTGGATGTTCTAGTCTGGTATTCTTTGGGGTCAGATACCTGTCTGTCGAACGCGGTCACCTGTTGAATTTCAGCCTGTTTTTTCTTCTTGGGATAATCCAGGGAGGTCTTGTTTCCCGTCTTTGAGCGGAAAGGCATCGATCTGTCAAAAGTGGACATTTATCTGGACCAGTCAAACACCCCGCTGTCACTCAACTTTGAAGCCTATCGCTTCGGAGGGCATTACCTGCGCGTGAAAGGTAGCGTGGTGATCCGATCCACGGGCTTCACCTTACGACGGATAGTCCTCGACTTGCGACTGATTGCTTGAGCATCCGTTCGCAGTTATAACACACCTACCTGGAGGGATAATTATGAACCGGATCCGAAGTTGAAGATGGGTGGACTTCAACTCCCAGAATTCCCCAGCCCAGAGTTGAAATCCACCCCTCTTCACGTTGCCATGGTGAAGAAAATCAAGCTGAGAATTTCTTTGGGATAGTGAAACTGACTAGACCGTGTGACTGTTTGGCCCCAAATGGGAAAATATCAAGGCGGTGGGGAGGGAAATCATGGATCGACAGCGTTGAAATCCACCCCTCTTCACGTTGCCATGGTGAAGAAAATCAAGCTGAGAATTTCTTTGGGATAGTGAAACTGACTAGACCGTGTGACTGTTTGGCCCCAAATGGGAAAATATCAAGGCGGTGGGGAGGGAAATCATGGATCGACAGCGTATTTCCGGCCGGAGGGACGTCATCGAGGGTTATCAATCTTCACTTCTCTCCCACTGCCTTGATATTTGCCAATTTTTCGCCCAGTCAGAAATGTGATCTAGTCAGTTTCACCATGTCGGAAGAAACAATGTCACCACAATATAGAACGATTTCACCTGGGGCAGATCCGGAGGGCACCTGCTTAGAGAACCGAGTAGGACGAGGACCCATATTTGCAGCAAACCCCCCCCCCCCAAGTAGGCCATTTTGCAGGAAGTGATCCAGATCACCACGTTTTTTTTTTCTCTGTTTCAGCCAAACCAGGAAATGATCTGAAGGTCGAAGAAGCGGTGAAGGACAACAAATCCCTGAGTTTGCCTATCCTGCGCCCGGTGGGCATCAGCCCCTCTTTCCTCGCCACCCCATCTTTGGATCGACTGGAGCAAATTTCCCTTCGCCGGGAGAGTACTGACGCCGTGGTGAGTTGGGGGACAGGTGTGGGTGCCCCTTCCCCTGCCTCCCTCCCCCCCACATCCCAAAGCAGATGGATCAGGAGCTGACCCATCCAGTAGCAGGGGATGCATCCAGGGCTGCTTTCTGGGGAATGGACTACCTTGTCTGGATGTTGTTCCCTTATCAGGCTGAGGTGTTGAATGCCTCAACTGGGGAGATCTATAAAACATTTTAGGAGTTGAAGTCCACCCGTTTTTCAAGTTGCCAACGTTGAGAAATTGCTCTGCAAGCCGGGAAAAATCAAGCTGGAAGTTTCAAATTTTCCCAGCATGGTGAAACTGACTAGATCATGTTTCTGATGATCACATCGATCGGTTGAACTTTGCTTCTGCCTGGGAGAAAAACCTTCTTTCTGCTGGAACAAGCCAGGATGACCTCACTTTTCCATTGGTGGACTTTGGAGCTACACAGAGATCTGTGCCAGCAGGAATCACCCCTCCCCAGCCAGAAAGAAGGGCTGATCTTTATGCCTGTTATTTATTACCGCCAGCCAGCAGAGGGCAGCACACGACCAACTTTGGCTGACCTTGGAAAACTGGTTTAACAGGGATGGAAGACCAACAGGAGATCCCTGAATTGGAAGCCAGGCCAGGGGGTTGAAAAAAAGCCGTGACAATTCCCTTTCCCCTAGGCCGACTAAGATGGATAGGTGCCAGAGTTCAACTCAAGAGCGGTGTTTTCATTTCATTTCATTTTTTAATTGATATTTGATTTGATTTTTAATGTGTGTTTTGATTTGTTCGGTTTTATTTGGAGTTTACATTTGATTTGATTTTTCATTTATATTTGATTTGATTTTTGATGTATATTGGATTTGATTTTTAATTTTTGATTTGATTTTGAGTTTTACATTTGATTTTTAACTTCTTTGATTTGATTTTGAGTTCATGTTTCATTTCGTTTCATTTTTCATTTATATCCAACTCCCATTTTGTTTCGCTTTTTCATTTACATTGTACCCTAATTCTATTCTTTGTTTATTTTTTACTTTTATTTTTAATGTACCCTTGCTTTTCTTTTTGATACATAGTTAGTGTTTTTATTTTATTTTAAACAGAGCTTTGCTTCCCTCTGCTGTCACTGCAGGGAACAATCCCAACATTTCTGGGGCTTGATTTAACAACACCATCCAGCCTCTTGAGCTTATCCATTTACTAAAAAGACTTCTGATTTTTTTTTCTGATTCGGGCCGAAAGGGACAAAAATTACTATCTACTGCAAGGGGGGGGGGGGAGAATCAGAATTACTTCTTCCTTGCGTCTTCTGCCAACTGTTTGGTTCCTATTATTTGGATAGTAAATAAATTCCGATTGATTGATTGCCCCAAAGCCTGACCTTTGGAGCCGGTTGGAAGCTCTCCACCCTCTGCCCTGCCCGCTTTCCCACAAGAAGCAGGAAGTGGCACCGCTTTGCCAGCTTGGTGCCCGTTGGCAAAGCCACCACTGTGCCAGGTGCCCCTTGGCAGATCTGCGCTCAGCCTGCACCCACGAATCTTCGCCAGTGCAGCTTCCCGTCACTCTTCGCAACGGAGCCGGTCTCCTTTATCGGATGCTTTTGAAGTAAGCCGAGGCTGCTAAATCCCTCCCACTGGGCTGAGTTCAAATTCAGAGCTGCGACGTCTCGGCCCGTGGGCGCAAGTCTCAAAAAAAGTTCGGACTCCTTGCCGTTTGGACTTGGGAAACCGAGTTCTCTCCCTCGTCAGAAATCATGTGGGATTGAGGACACAGCCATGTTTGGCCCCAAATGGAGGAGGTGGGACCTTCCGACCCACACCGAGTGGTCAGCGCTGCATTATGCCCGTTTCCAACACCTGCTGGACGAGCCCTTCGGCTGGGAGCCGGCCGTCGCGCCGGGATTTGTCGCTGCTCGAATTCAGCTCTATAACTCCCAATCCGAGGTTTCTGAATTTTCGTCCCGGCTAGCCAAACCAAGCAAGGATCTTTGCCACGAGGCAAAAGGAGAAGCTGGTCAGAGTGAATCTGGGGGGCGCGGGGGTCAGCCTGGATGTTGGAAACCCGGACAGGATGTAAGTCTGTATTCGGAATCGGAAACTTGAGTTTGCTTACTGCAGCAGGATCTGAGTTCTGTGAAGCTGCTGCAAACTAACCGACATTAAACCGGTTTAGCGTGGCCCAGGGAATGCGTCTGCTAGGTTTTTCAATGAGCTGATCACGGGGGGTTGTCTGAATCCAACTTAGGTGTGCTGACCCACACCTAAAATCACCAATGAGTCAAATTTAGCTCGTTTTGTCTTCCGAAGCAATCCTAGCTAGCCCTTTGAACCCGGTGCCAACTGCAATTTCCTACTCTCTGCCGGTGGCCGGGAGCGTCCGGAATGAAAGAAACCGAGAATGTTGGTTTTATTGACGGTAACGGCCAAGTTTTCAATTTGCAGGACAGGCTGAAGTTTTGGAAATTTGATTGTGATTGTTTGGTGGGTGGTGGATGCGAAGCCATCAGTGTGTCAATCCCGTCTCCTCTGGCACGGTGGTGGTGTGTTGTTGGTGTAATGCCAGTCTAGTCTACCTCGCAGGGCTGTTGTGCGTGTGTAGGGAGAATTAGACCTGTGCTGTGCTATGACCTCTGAGACCTGAAATAAAAATTTAAAATGGGCATATCGCTTATAAGGACTCCCTGGTGGCTGATTCATCATTGGGGTGGTTTAAATATTTATTTATTCGTCGTCTTCCTTCCTTCTTTCCTTCCTTCCTTCCTCCCTTTCTCTTTTCTCTTCTCTTCTCTTCTCTTCTGTTCTCTCCTTCTCTCCTTCCTTTCTCCCTCCCATCCTCCCTTTCTCTTCTCTTCTCTTCTCTTCTCTTCTATTCTATTCTATTCTATTCTATTCTGTTCTCTCCTTCTCTCCTTCCTTTCTCCCTCCCATCCTCCCTTTCTCTTCTCTTCTCTTCTCTTCTCTTCTCTTCTCTTCTCTTCTCTCCTTCTCTCCTTCCTTTCTCCCTCCCATCCTCCCTTTCTCTCTCTCTTCTCTTCTCTTCTCTTCTCTTCTATTCTATTCTATTCTGTTCTCTCCTTCTCTCCTTCCTTTCTCCCTCCCATCCTCCCTTTCTCTCTGTCTTCTCTTCTCTTCTCTCCTTCTCTCCTTCCTTCCTCCCTCCCTCCCATCCTCCCTTTCTTCTCTTCTCTTCTCTTCTCTTCTCTTCTCTTCTCTTCCTTCCTTCCTTCCTATTCATTCATTCATTCACCCACCCATTTTTGAACCAATTCTGGGTGCCTGCCAATCAAAACTATAAAACTGGAGCTGAGATTAAAAGATTTATTTTATTTTGTGATCCCCTCCAGACACCGGTGACTTTTTACGATCTTTTCAGGGACTGCTCTGGGTTCAGCCAAAGCCCCCAGGGCCGCCCATTTCTGTCTCTCTCTCCCCCCCCCCCACCCCCCGGGCCTGCCTGATTTGATTTTTTTATTTTTTTCCCTTTGGTGCAGAGGACAGAGTTCGCCCAGGCCTTTTGCTTTATGGTCCTTTAGATGATTTTACAACCCTCAACCCCGTGTTATAATTTACGGCTCTTTCAAACTCTGACGGTGGAGAAATAAATGGAGAGGGCTATCTATAACTTTATCATTTTTGCGTTTCCTCTTTTTCGCTTCCAGTTTCGCCGTTGTATTGATCCAGACACGAAATAAGCTTGGCTGAATAAATTTGTCAAAGGAGCAAAACCGAAGGGGCACACCCTTTCTTTTCTTTTTTTTTGACCCGGCAGGCAAACAAGCAACACACACACACACACACACAGACACACACACACACACAACCAGAGGCTGGGAAACGGGCAGCAGGAATCCCTGCATGTAGAAAGCCAGCTCTGCAGGGTGAATTTTGCATTTTTCTCCAAGGACTTGATCTTCTGCTTGCCAGGATGGTTGCAAAGTACAGCTGGCCGTATTTAAGAGGGGGGAATTCTGGGAGTTGAAGTCCACCCGTGCTGGCTGGGGAATGATGGGAACTGAAGTCTTTATCTGCCTGTTTGGGGCATTCTGGGAGTTGAAGTCCTCGCATCTTAAATTTCGAGATTGAAAAACAGTTATCGTGTGTGTATAATGAGTTCAATATCTAACTGGTTTATATATTCATAACTACCCACCCACCCAATCTGTTTGCTTCTGACCCCCCCCCACNCCCCCCCCCCCCAAGTTCAAGCTTTCCTCTCCAGAAAGGTGGTGGAAAATCCGGATTGTGATCTCTTCCCAGATAAGGGATCTCTGGATTTCCTTCCTTCCTTCCTTCTTTTCCTCTCTCCCTCCTTCCTTCTCCTCTTCTCTTTCTCTCTCTCTCTCTCTCTCCTTCCTTGTTTCCTTCCCCCTCTTTCTCTTTCTTTCTTTCTTTCTTTCTTTCTTCATTCCCTCCTTCCTTCTCCTCTATCTCTCTCTCTTCTTCCTTGCTTCCTTCCCTCTCTCTCTCTCTCTCTCTCTCTCTCTCTTTCTTTCTTTCTTTCTTTCTTTCTTTCTTTCTTTCTTTCTTTCTTTCTTTCTTTCTTCATTCCCTCCCTTCTTTCCTGGGCTGCTTCCCAGGTGATGCAAAGTTCCTTTCCTGTGGGTCAGCCCTCCGTTGTGTCTCTCTCTCCCCCCCATGCAGGAGCTGGACAAGACGGAGCAGCTGGAGAGCAAGCTGCAGTCCTTTGGCCTCTTCGGCCTGCCCCGCCTGCCCGACCAGCTGCGCTTCGACCAGGACTCCTGGGAGGACGGAGAGCAGGAGCAGGAGGAGGAGGAGGAGCAGGGCGGCCTCCGGATGGAGGAGAGCTGGCAGCAGATCATCCCGGGGACTGAGGTGAGCGTGGGGGAGAGGGAGGTGGCTTTCTTTTCTTTCTTTTCCTTCCTTCCTTCCTTCTCTCTCTCTTTCTTTTCTCCCTTTCCTTCTTTCTCTCCCTTCCTGCCTTCCTTCCCTCCTTCTCCAGCCTTCCATCCTCCCTATCTACCGCCTTCCTTCCTTCCTTCCTTCCTTCCTTCTTCCTTCCTTCCTTCCTTCCTTCCTTCCTTCCTTCCTTCCTTCTTTCCTTCCTTCCTTCCTTCCTTCCTTCCTTCCTTCCTTCCTTCCTTCCTTCCTTTGTTCCTTCCTTCCTTCCTTCTTTTCTTTTTTCTTTTCTTTCTTTTCTCCTTTTTTCCCTTTCCCTTTCTTCCCATCCCTTCCTTCCCTTCGTTCCCTCTTTCTCCTTCTTCCCTCCCTCCCTCTCTACCTCCTTTCCCCTCCTTCCTCCTTCCCTCCTTCTCCTTTCAACTAAGGTTAAATCTATCCTTGGTTTGTCTCCAGACGTTGACGCGACGCCAGTGCCACCAGCAGGAAGCCATTTGGGAGCTGCTCCACACCGAAGCCTCCTACATCAAGAAACTGAAAGTCATCACGGATGTAAGTCCGTCCTGGGTTACTCCCTCCATAGCCCTGCGGTGCCCTGTGCAAATCTTCCCACCCCGTCTCTCAATTTCCACCAGCTTCTGCGTGGACTTCAACTCGCAGAATTCCTCAGCCAGCCGTTAAAGAGAAGCACGCAATTAATTTTGTTTTCTACTTGGAAACCACTTCTGGACTTTGTGCCTGAGGTGGAGAAAAAAATATATATGAAACTTTGTCTTTGCTGATTAGACAGAGTCGTCAGTTGCAGAAATGGCCGGTAATATATTATTATATAAAAGTAAAAAAGTTGAGGTTTTATGTTATTACCTTATTCTTCTCCACCAAAAGGAATCGGAAGTCGGTGCTTTTCCCTTTTTCATCCCTTATTTTCATTTTTTCTTCTTCTTACTTCTGTGGTTTAGATTTTGATCAACCAATAAAATATGTGTGCACGGGTGGAATGCCCCCCAAAAGCACAGCCTTTTGTGAATCACACCCCAAAATTGCCCGTCTCTTCTCTAATCTAACCACAGTCTGCCGACGGTGGAGCCCAATGGATTAATACATTTATTTATTTTTTTCTCCTCTCTTCAGCTCTTCCTCTGCTGTCTTCTAAATTTGCAGGATTCGGGTCTCTTGTGCGAGGTAAGGGCTCCCCCCACCCCCCACCCCATTAAAAACTCTGCTGGGAAATGGGTCAAAGTCACAAATTTCCAGTTTGTGGATGAAAGAACAGAAATGTGCATTGCCCAGCACAGAAGTCGTATGTAGAGGCGCCTAGTACCTCAACTTACGACCAGAATTGAGCGCCAGATCTCTCTCACTAAGTGAAACATTTCTTCAGTGAGTTTTGCCCCGTTTTAACAACCTTTTACAACACGGTTGTAAAGCGAGTCTGGCTTTGAGAAAAGGGATGACACGACCCCGGGGACGCTGCCAAACCGTCCTAAGTACGAGTCAGTTGCCGAGCGCCTGGATTTCAATCGCGTGGCCACGGGGGTGCTGCGACGGTCGTTAAGTGTGGAAAAACGGGTCCTCGGTCACTTTTTTCACGGCTGTTGTCCCTAAATGAAACGTCGTAAGTCGAGGATGACCCGTATGGATTTTAATTCCTCAGAAAGGAACGGATTGGCCTCACGGGCTTCTGTTTTTTTGGGGGGGGGGTGTCCCCTCTTTCCAAGGTGGACGCCGAGAGGCTCTTCAGCAACATCCAAGAGATTGTCCGGGTCCATCGCAACCTCTGGAGGACCGTCATGGCCCCCATTTTGGACAAGGCCCGGAGGAGCCGAAACTTACTGGACCCCATCGATTTGTCCGAGGGCTTTAATATGGTGAGGGGGAAAGAGGGCTGGTTAGGTGGGTGGGGCGAGCCCTTATGGTATGCTCAGAGGCCCTCTGCATTTGGAGTTGAGCTTGGAAGCTGATGTCGGGCCCACGGAAGGGAAGGAGGTTTGCAAATGGTCAGTATATAAAGAGAGAACAACGTCTGCCTCCTTCTAGCGCTGATGATGTTCCCTAGTTGGGTCATGAGACGTCTGCAAGGAAACCGCCAAGCTCAGAGAGCACCAGAGACCCCCACAGTCCTCCTCTTCTTCCTCCTCCTTCCATTCCTCCCAGCACTGATAATGTTACCTAGTTGGGTTATGAAACATCTGCAAGAAAACAGCCAGGCTCAGAGAGCGCCAAGGAACCCATAGTCTCTCCTCCTCCTCCTCTCCCCAAACTCCACTCCCTTCTAGCACTGATGATGTTCCCTAGTTGGGTCATGAGACGTCCGCAAGAAACCCCCCCCCCCAGCTCAGAGACCACCCAGGACCCCACCCAAGGAAGACAATCTCTCCCACAGCCCAGTCAAATGCCCCCTGGATGCTTAGCCGATGCTAGATCATTCCAGCTTCCACGGTCCTCCTTAAACCATGGTTAACTCTGGCTCTCTCCCCTCCCCCCAGTTTGGCGCCCACTTCCAGCCGTACATCCGTTACTGTATGGAAGAGGAAGCTTGCATGGAATACATGCGGAATTTGCTGCGACAAAACGAACTCTTCCGGCTTTACGTGACGGTAAGGAGAGGCGGGGCTGGACATCCCCCCGGGCCACCGGGCAGAAAGTCCCAGGGTCAAGGGCTCCCTGTATGCAGCGGAGAATCTGCACCCCTTTCCGGGAATCTGGGCTGGCGGGGTCTCCCCGTGGGTGGCCCCGTTTGTGACGGGACTCCCATAATACTTTTCTCTCCTAGTGGGCCGAGAAACACAAGCAGTGCAACCGTCTCAAGCTGAGCGACATGCTGGTGAAGCCGCACCAACGCCTGACCAAGTACCCTCTGCTCCTGAAGTCCGTCTTGAAGAAGACCGAGGACCCCGAGGACCGAGAAGCCATCATCGGCATGGTAAGGGGCCAAACCCAGTTCCCAGATGATGGCTAGAGGGTTGGGCGGGTCCTTTTTGCGTGCGCCGTTTAACAAAACCCACCCTGCATGGGCACGCAAGCCAGCCCAAGGAGCAAAGGGTCAGAATGTATCAGGTGTAAGGTCTCCTGCTCGATCGGCGGGGGGGTTGGACTGGATGACCTCTGAGGTCCCTTCCAACTCTGTCGTTCTGTAATCCCAGATCAATTAACCAGTTGGAACAGCTTGTTCTCCAGAAATTGTGGGTGCTCTCCACAATTTTCAAGAAGAGGCTGGACAGCCACTTGTCTGGAATGGGTATAGGGTCCCCTGCTGAAGCAGGGGGGTGGAGTAGATGACCTCTGAGGTCCTTTCCAGCTGTTATTCCGTAATCCCAGATCACTTAACCAGTGGAAACGGCTGAGTTTTAGAAGTTGTGGGTTCTCCATTCCTGGAGGTTTTCAAAAAAAAAAATAAACTGGACAGCCATTTGTCTGGAAGGGTACAATCAGGGTCTCCTGCTCGAGCAAGGGGTTGGACTAGATGACCTCCGAGGTCCCTTCCGACTCTCGTTATTCTGTAACCTGCATTTTCCACAGCCCAGAAGCGTGTCTTGCGAAAGACAACCGGGTTGGGCAGCTTAACGGGAGAAAAAAGTCTGAATTGTTTGCCATCCACCCACCCCGCACAGCGCCCATCTCCGCTTGCCAGGAAATAAGATAAATAAATAAGATAATCGGTGCTCAAAACTCTTTTTAATCGCTTTCTTTCTTTTTTTTTTCCGGGGGACTGATAAGAAAATACGAGAAAGCTAGAACGGAGGGCCCGCTGGGGGGGGGATTCAGACAGCAGGAAAACTCCTGGATTTTTGTCACCGCCCTGAGTTAATCTAGGGAACTCCCGACCACCAGTTTTGAGATTTTATTTTTTTTAAAAAACTTCCCCAGTTCGCTCTGCCTTCAACCAGCACAAAAAACTCTTTGCACAGTTTTGTCCTCCGAACACTGAGCCGGAAAGGTTGAAGAGTCCAAGTGCAATTCAGCAACGGAAATGAATATTTCGAAGGGAGTTGAAACTGGGGTGACTTTGGGCCAGTCCCCAGGAGGCTGCGAGTTCTAGTCCTGCCTTAAGCATAAAACCCGACTGGGTGACTTTGGGCCAATGTCTCTCAGCCTGACCCACCTCACAAGGTTGTTCACGCTGAGGGCAAAACAGGCAGAAGGAGGAATGTTGTGTACACATTCACCACCTTGCATTATTTGTAAAAATAAAAAAGCCAGGGTACAAATAAATAAAATAATAAAATAAAATAAAATAAAATAAAATAAAATAAAATAAAATAAAATAAAATGAAATAAAATAATAAAATAAAATAAAATAAAATAAAATAAAATAAAATAAAATAATAATAAAATAAAATAAAATAAAATAAAAAATAAAATAATAAAATAAAATAATAAAATAAAATAAAATAATAAAATAAAATAAAATAAAATAAAATAAAATAAAATAAAATAAAATAAATAATAAAATAAAATAAATAATAAAATAAAATAAAAAAATAATAAAATAAAATAATAAAATAAAAATACAGCAAGAACATCAGAGTGTACACATACATAACACACATTTAAAACATACTATACACAACATACCTATAGACGTACACCCTTACGTATAAGTCACTTATAACTATTAATCACAACATACAAATATTAATCACAGCATATAAATATTAATCCTACACGCCTATCAATCACCGAGGTCGAGTAGAGCTTCCACCTTCCATCGCAGTCTACCTTAGAGAAACTCGGCCAGGTTTCCTGATGCTCAGACTCCTTCGGGGGGGGGGGGAATCGTCGGTTTCTGCTCCAGGAGGATAAAAGGAGCGGTTTCCGCCCTTCTTTCTCCCCTCTGGGCAGATCACCGCGGTGGAATCGTTCATCAACCACGTCAACTCGCGCATGCGGCACCACCAGGAGCAGCAACGCCTGGCGACCACCGTGAACCGCATCGAGGCCTACGAGGTGGTGGAAGGCAGCACCGACGAAGTGGACAAGGTCGGGCAGGGGTTCGGGGGGGAGGGGAGGGCAGGGGGAGGTGCAAGGGAGACCAGCCCCAAAGCTCTTACAGGTAGTCCTCGACTTACGACGGGGTTGCCCCAGCAATGGGTTCGTTTAACGACCGACAACGCACAAAAAACCTCACAAGTGTGGGTCGGTTATGTGAGCGACCTGATTTATGACCGTCGCGACATGCAGTCTGCGTCATGGTTACATGTTGAGCCTGTGGGATTAATTCGGGATGCTGCGACGGCTGTACGTGTGAGGACCGGTCCCAAGTCCCTTATTTCAGTGCCGTTGTTACTTCCAACCGTCACTAAACGAATGGCTGTAAGCCGAGAACTGCCTGTGTATGGGACCATCTCGATGGGAGGAGAAGCCAAGATCTGGCTTGAAACTAACCATGGTTAATTAATCTCAACCCAACTCGGTTTGGGTTTGTCTCTGGTGCTTTGGGGGTTCGGGGCCAAACGTGAGGCCCCCCCATTTGCTTCCTCCACCCATCCCAACCCCCCTGCCCCCCAGATCCTGAAGGAGTTTCAGCGCTTGGATCTGACAGCCCCGATCCCCGGGACGTCCCGGGAGGAGACGCGACGGCTGCTGATGGAGGGGGCCCTGAAGATGAGGGAAGGCCGAGACAGCAAGGTGGGTCCCCGGAAAGGGTTGGGGGGGCTGGCAAAGGGCCGAGGGGGCCACTGGCTCTGCTTCGGGGCTAACGGGAGAAGGGGGAGGTGTCAGGAAGGGCTGCTTGCGGCTTCTCTGCTAGCTTTCTGCTTGCGGGGATGTTTGGGATATGTCAGGTCGCCAAGGGGGTGTTAAGCGCCCCGAAATTCTGTCCCGTCCGGAGAAAGTGCTAAATGCGTAATTTAGCTCTGCTTGGCGTTTTCTTGCCCTCCCTCCGTTCTTCTTTCCTATTCTTCTTTCCTTCCTTCCTTCCTCCCTCCTTTCCTTCCTCTTCTTTCTGCTCCTTCTTTCATTCTTTCTTTCCTTCCTTGCTTCCTTCCTCCCTCATTTCTATCTAACTTTCTTATCCCTCCCTCTTTCTTCCTTTCCTTCTGCCCTCCCTCCTTCCCTCCTTTTATCTTTTTCTCATTCCTTCCTCCTTTCCTTTTCTTTCCTTTCTCCCCTCCATCCATCCATCCATCCACAGAAACCCAACAGGGAGGGGGTCCTGTCCCTCCCCGGGGGTCTCCATCGCAGCAGATCCCTCCTCCCCCCCCCCCCCGCCCTGCTTCTCACCCCCGGTGGTCTCTCTTGGGCCAGATGGACGTCTACTGCTTCCTCTTCACCGACCTCTTCCTCATCACCAAACCAGCCAAGAAGGGTGAGCGCACCCGGGTCGTCCGCCAGCCCCTCCTGATCGACAAGGTGGTGTGTCGGGCGCTCAGGGATCCAGGTAAGAAACACACACACACACACACACACACACACACATGCAGCGTTGCTGGTGTAACGTTGGCCACTAAGTCGAGGACCGTCTGTATTTTCTGTTATCCTTCCCCCCCCCCCAAGGGTCTTTCCTGCTGATCTACCTGAACGAGTTTCGCAGCGCCGTGTGTGCCTACACGTTTCAGACCAGCGGGCAGTCGCTCTGCCGGAGCTGGGTCGAGGCTGTCTGTAACGCTCAGGTAGGCAACTCAGAGGTCATCCAGCCCATCAGCGGGTTTCACTACTCCCTGTCAGCTAAACTGACCGTCGAGCCTCTGTTTGAAAATCTCGAGGCAAGGCAAAGAAACAGAAATGTTTCCTAAGGTCCCGCCCCTATCTACATCGGCGAAGTTTCATGCCACGTGTTCAAATCTTACCCTCTGGAGCAAGTTTCGTTTTCATTCTCTGCCTGCCTCGTGGTCTCATGAGGGCTGGGGTCTCCCAGCTTCCCCCTCCCCCCCAAAAAAGCCCTTCTAAGATCCCCATTACGCCTTGGCTCTGGATTAGAGGATCTTCCCTGTCCCAAGAGAGTCTACCTTTGCAACTTTCATCCCGTAGAATAAGCTGCAGCAGCTGCGTCTTCAAGAGTTCCAACGCAAGCAGCAGCTTCCCCAGGTCCAGGAAGCCAAGGCGGAAGAGGAAGAGGAGGAAGAGGAAGAAGAGGAAGAAGGCAACAGGGACTCCTCGGAAGCCAGCTCCCCTCCCACCCTCCGGAAAAGCCCCAGCAGCCCGGATTCCCAGCAGCGGTAAGTTCAGACGCGTGGCCACTGACTCGTATTTATGACGGTTGCAAGCCTCAGGTGTTGAGTTTTGCAAAAACAAAGTTTCCGCCTATGGAAGGAAGGAAGGAAGCGGACCCCGTGTGCTTATTGTGCACATTACGGCGCTGTGATTTTAGCTTTGGGGCATTGAAATCCCTCCAGGGTTGTCAATTCCGTGCTTTCTGCTAGTCAATTTCAGTGGCAACCCTAACCGAACTTCCTATCTTGATTTTCAGCCTCTCCGACAGCTCCACTGAGACCATCTCCATGATCGCGGCTGAGACCGGCGAGGGATACCTTTCCCCTTCCTTTGACGGGAGCCAGTTCCTCCCCCCAGCGGAGGAATTGAGCCTCAGCCCCCTCCCCAATTCCGCCACATGCTCCTTGGAGACAGGAGATCCACTCACCGACACCTCCAGACCCTTGTCGAAACCGGAACCCAGCCCCTGCAGCTGCTCGTCGTTCGACAGCGCCTACGGGACTCTCTCGCTCGGCTCGCTACACGAACTGGTGGAGCCGGCGCTGCCGCAGGGCGGTACGGAGGCTGCCGAGGAGGAAGAGGAGGATGTCACCAAGCCTGGCTCCCCCAAGTTGCGTCGTCAGATCCCTATCCAGCTCCTGCCTGCCAAGACCAAGGTGCTGAAATCCAAATCCGAAGCCAACCTCGCGCAGGTTCTATCGCCCTCACTGTTTCTCGTCCAGAGTCAAAGTTTGTTCGAACTTTCTCCTCCGGTCATGTTGTCCGGGGGCCCTCCGACGCAGGAGCCCCAAGGCCAGCCCCTGTGCAGGGTCTTTAGCAGCAGCAGCAATAACAGCAGCGCTTCCGAGTTCTCTGAAGCGGAGGAGACGTCCTTGCTGGGAATCTGCATCTCTTCGGAGCTGGCGGCTGCTGTCCCGAACGGACCCCCATCCCCGTGCTGGCTGGACGAGGAGAATCTGAGCGAGGAGCTGTCGGCGGAGCAGCAGGCTTTTTCGGACCCACCGGCGATTCAGCACCGGAAGTTGACTTTGGGCCAGCTGTACCGCCTCCACACGACACTGCTGCTCAACTCCACGCTTACAGCCTCGTGAGTGGGTGGCAGGAGAATGGCGAGTGGGACTGCGAGGACCTCTGAGCTGTAACGGGGGTAGCAGAGCAGACAGGAGGGTGAATGGTGGGTGGCCTCAGCCTTGTGAGGTAGCCCAGGCAGGAAACATGTCCTGATGAATCTTATTTTCTCGTCTCTTGCAGGGAGGTATGAGAAGCGTCAGAAGAAGAGAACCGAGTGCGAGACAGAGTCCCACCCCTCCGTGGGCATCAGGACCACTCAGCCGCCCCGAGGGGGTGGGCACGAGGACAGGGCACAGCATCCCAACCGGGTGCCATTTCTGTGTATGTGCGTGCACCCGATTGATGTGTTTGCGGCGGCTGTGTGCACCCTTGGCCCGAGGACATGAGAAAGTGGGGGGGTGGGAGGGTGGGGGCCCCCAGCAACAACTTCCCAGGAACTTCGATTTTGACCCCCAAGTTTTGCACTGTTCATTCCTCCTTGTTCACCCTCCTCGCTGGACACAAAGGATGGAGAAGGAGAATTCAAGTGGCTCTCCGTACAATGTTTTATCTGTTGTTTTTCTCACTCGGCTTCTCCTCCTCTAAATATGGCTCCCTTGTTACCCCAAATCTCCCCATATCAGGAATTGAACCTTGTCGCTTCCTCCTGGACGTGGGCCCCACCGGCCATTGTCACCCCTCCCCAAATCCACTTAACCAGAGGACCCTAACTTTCGCTCGTTTGAGCTCGCTCCATGCCCAACGCTCACTCCGGAGCCCCAAGAAGGAATGGGGCACTTTCCAGCCTTGATTACCCTGCCTGGGCAATGGGTACGACTCACCCCCACCCTCGTTTCGCTCCCATTGTGGTACGGGGTCTTCCCATCCAGAAGGAGGAAAATAAAGACTCCCCCTTGGGGTGTTTTTTTTCCCTGCCGAGGAGGTGCACACAACAGCGAGAAAAGCGTTGTACAGAACAACATAGAGGTCATCTAGTCCAACCCCAGCATCCTGAGACAAGGAGCACAGGTTCAAGCCAAGGTTGGCTGTTTTTGGAAGGAGGGAGAAAGAACTGGAAAGTCGGAAAAGGGAAAGGAGTGAAGAAGGATAACAGAAGTGGCCCAAGGAACAGGAAAGCAGACGATTGCAGAAAGGGCGAAGTTTGTGGTTTTGCGAGCTGGGAATATCGGAAGAAGAAAAAAATGGAACAGCAGCCTGCTGAGTCGTGAAAAACTTGTGACATTGTGGACAGTTTGGGGGACGTCAATGCCTCTCTGCCCCCTTTTTGTTGGGGGTGACAATTATCCTTGTTTGATTCCAGGGCTGACGCCTTCCATGGACGAAAAACTAAATTGGGGCCCCGCTCGGACGGCGGAGCAAAGCCCACCCCCCAAATGTATCGGCCACGCAACGTGGTGCATTTTTCCCTAGCAAACCCCCTCTTTTTAATTCTGCATCTGTTGTGTTTTGCGTTGGCTTTTAACACTGCCTATTTATTAAGCTTGTATTCTCGCAGCCCCCACCGGCCCCATTTTTCAATGGGGCAGGAGAAGTGGGGGGGGGGTAACTAGTTCAGTTCCTTTTCTACCAGGACATGCCGTGGCTTTCGTGGCTGCCTCCCCCAGAGGCGCAGTGGGGATTCTGCACCCCCCCTTTTTATTTTGCAAATGTGGTTGCTTGGCGCAATTGGTCCCCCATTAAAGGCCGATTAAATCTTATGATTTTTTCCCTCTCCTGGGATGTAATTGTGGGGGGGGGATAGGGGTTTGTGGCTGGGTTTGGGCATGACAGCAAACTATCATTGCTTGCTGAGTTAGGGTGGGAAATCCAGCCCACGGTGACAAACCAGGATAGGGATACAAGCCACAAGTAACTGAGTTTGGGTATGACTTACAACTCAGAAGCACGGAAATTCTTCTCCAGTTGTGATCGTAACTCGAGGACTACCTTTATCAGATGCTTAAAAACCATCTGATGACATCTGATGCCCCTTTAACCACAGTTATCTGCGTTCATCGCCGTGCCGCCCCCCTTCTTTTTTTACGAAGGAGGGGGAACCCCCCCCAAACTCTGCGTCAGTCACGGCCTCCTTCGCTCATAATTTCCAATTTGTCTTTCGCTCCGCTTGCAAACCGAGCGTTTTGAATTCATTTGCATAAAAGGTGTTTTTTTTTCTTTTCTTTTGAGAAAAAAAAGCTTGCTCTTAAGTAAAGTTCGCCGAATCACATTCGCAAGCCCCCCCCCCAAAAAACTTTGGCACGTTTTATCTTCCTCTAATCTTTTACCATCTTTCTCTAAACCCTTAAAAGCGGTGGAATATTTCTGCCCAAATCAGAAGTTCAAAAAATGAAAAAGGAATGAAAATTTTTTTTTTGCAACCTCAACCACCCCTTAATTAAAAAAAAAAAAAAATCTCCCCCCCTCTTTCTTTCCCCAACTTTTTTCAAAGTTTCCCACTGGATCGACCGACTTGAAAAAAAAAGAGCTGCGCTTTATAATTATTATTTTTTTTCTTTTTTTAAAAAAAGAAATTGCATTTCCTTCCTGCCGCGGGGACTTAAAAAGTTGCCCGTGCGGGTTTTTTTGTTCACTTTCCTTCTCTTGAAGACATCTGGGTGACACGGCTTGGGGGTGGGAGGGGTGGTTTCCTGAGCCTTTGGGGGGGGCTGAATGGGCTGTGGTCTCTTTAATGAAAGCGATGCGCGGTGGGTGTCTTCGTGCATCAGCTGCTGCGGTAAGTACCAGCGCTTACTAACAAACAAAATCGGGCATCCGATTTTGCAAAACTTCATTTTTGCAGAGGGAAAAACTGCCGGGTTAATTCTCAACTAGACACGGTTCTTCGTTAAACTGAGACTCAGCTGAGCTTCATTCAGAAAGGTTAGTGGGATTTTCTCTGACTTCTTGCTTTGATTCTTACAAAGGGCTTCTGGTTTTCTGCCTCGTTCTGAAATTGAGAACGGGGGTCTCCGTGACAGGTTGGGCTCCTTCCCCCTTGTGAAGCTGACTGAATTTAATTGGGGGGGGGGGTGTAGTCTCTCTTCTTCAAAAAAGAACCTCAAAACGAACCTCTTTTTAAAAAAATCTCTTTAATTTTTTTTAAAAAACATTTTAGAACTTTTAGAACTTTTAAAAAGTATGACTTTTTAAGTCTTTTTAAAACTTAACTTTCTAAAACTTTTTAAGTTTCTAAAAGTTTTGAAAAGCTTTTAAAAAGTCCCGGAAAACTTTTAAAGTCTTGAAAAACGTTTTACAAATCTTGAAAAAGCTTTAAACTTTTAAAACAACCTTTTAAAAACTTTAGCAATCTTTGGAAATCTCTCACAAATCTCCTAAAAAGATTCTCAAACCAACTTTCAGATTGAAACAGAAGTATTAAAAAAAATCCCAACTCTGGGTTTTTAATCCTTAAAATAAAAAATGTTTTAAAAATCTTTAAAAGTCTTAATTCACTAAAAGTCTTAAATTTCTTTTAGAGGGTTGTGTCAAGGCTTAAATTTAAACCGAGGAAAACCTAAAATATGATCCTGTTAATTCACTGGGCAAAATGAGATAGCAGATTTTTTTTTTATTTCAGAGTTTAGGGTGGTTTTAGCGTCTGCCAGTTGTTCAAAAGGAACTTTCCTGTGGACTAGAAGAATGAATGAAATTAAAGCACAGATTAGCAAATTCCACTGCAAGTCAGCGCTGAAATTGATATTTAATATTAAGCAGGTTAAAGAATATATGGCCGCTAGTTGAAAATTGTTAGAAAAGCGTCTTTTTAAAATTAGAATCCAGAGTCTCTACAGGTAGTCCTCAAATTGCAACAATTCGTTTAGTGACCGTTTGAAGTGACGACATCACTGAAAAAAAATGACTTGAGTACTTGTTTTTCACACTTACGACCATCACAGCCTCCCTGGGGGGTCACGTGATCAAAATTGGGATGCTTGGCAACTGGCCTGTACTTATGACTGTTGAAGTGCTCCAGGGTCACGTGATCCATTTTGTGACCTGACCAGCAAAGTCAACGGGGAAGCTGGCTTTTACTTAACAACCGTGTCACTAACTTAACAACTGCAATGTTTCACTTAACAACTGTGGCAAGACAGGTCGTAAAACGGGGCAAATCTCCCTTAACAGCTCTCTGGCTTAGCAACGGAACGCTTGAGCTTCGTTGACAATCGTAAGTCGAGGATTACTTACGGGGAGACATCACCACCTACGCATTTCAATCCTGGCCAAGATGCTAGTCCTCATGGGTTGGGGTTTTTTTGGCTGTTTTTTGCACTTGAATACCCTTAAAATGTTTTGCTTTGCAGAGTGAGATAGGCCTGGACTGTCCTACATTTTAAGGCCATTAGTGCAAAAAACAAGGCTGCACCAGAGGCATGTGCGAACTGCCCCCTCCTCCTTTCTGAGCAGGAAAGGGTTAAACGGGGGAGGAGATCGTATTTCGGGAAAGGAAGTAGATTTAATCTGGAGCTGACTGTACACCGATAAGGATCTCCTAGGGGAGGGCCCATGCTATGGGGTAATCTATTTTGGAAATAGGATGTGAGCTTTGATACCCAAGTAGGGTGAGTATCTTCAGCACTTGTTGCTGAAAATGATGGGTGGGGCAGAAATGGAAAAAAAATGAGGGGTGGGGGCAGCATTGTCACACAGGAGACCCCCTTTATGTCTTTAAAAATTGCATCCCTCTCTTGACTTCTCTGTATAATTCTAGAAAATCAGGTTTGTACTCCCAAAGGCATGGCACTAAAGGAAAGGTGACGGGGAGGGAAGAGGAAAAAAAATAATCAGCCAATCTAGATATTCACTGTTAATAGCCTCTTTCTGAGCGACTCCAGTGTAAAGTTTCAACTTTACTAAGAAGCCACTCCAAATTTTCCTGGAGAGAGCTTATCATTTTGTATTTTGTGTTTGATTTTCATCCTACTGCGTCTTTCAAAATACAAAGTTCATTCCGACAGGTGTTAAAAGTGTGGCTAGAAGAAAAGCGGATATGAACCAAGGGCAAAAGTTAAACCAGCATAAAACCAAAAGGAAACATTGA